CACGCGCACACACACACACACACACACACACACACACACACACACACACACACACACACACACACACACACACACATTACTCGACTTCGACTGAGAATCAATTTGAGAACTATTGAAGAAATTCAAGATAATTAAAGGAGCGGTTAAAAACTATGAATGACTACTAACCTCTTCTCGAATACTCAGAAGTTACAGAGCCTCTTTTCGCACACATTACCCGGCTTCGGCTGAGAATTAATCTGAGTCAGAAGCCTTAGACTCCCAAACAAAACTCTCTAAAACTGTCCAACGTTGTCTTATTCCTTGTCGAGCTCTCCCAGGCCTCACACCCCCACCTGGCTAGGTTACAGAGCAAGACGACTCGCCCCAGCTCCGGTCAGCGTTGTCCCAACAGTTACCCTTGGTCCCTTGGTTGTCCCTTGGAATGCCCACCCCAAAGCATCCCCAGATCTCTCTACCAGGCCTCATGCTCCTGCAAATCAACAGGTTACAAGGCAACACCCCGACACCACCCAGCGTCGTTCTGGCATCGAACAACCACAAATCCATAAACATATCATTATCAAACAGCCTAAAGCGAGTTGCTAGAAGTCCCCAGAATCCTAAAACATTTTTTTTTTTTCTTTTAACAAAATTCAATGTTATTTGAGGTATCGGTTAAGAACAATCGGGGAACTAGTAGAGGGATTCAAAGAAATTTAAAAAGAAGCATGGATAACTCTGACAACAATTACTAAGTCAAAACGAAAGCCACATAAGTTCTTTGAATGCTCAGAGCCCCCATAATTCCTGACAAAACTCTCTAGGATTCTTTAACACTGTATTTTTCGTGCCGAGCTTTCCCAAGCCTCACGCCCCCACCCTGCTAGGTTACAGGGCAACACGACTCACCCCAACTCCGACCAGCGTCGTTCCGACAGCAGCCCTTGGTTATCCCCTAGAATCCCCGCCCCAAAGCATCCCCAGATCTCTCTACCAGGCCTCAGMCTCCTGCTATCAACAGGTTATAGGGCTACGCCCCAACACCAATCAGCGTCGTTCTAGCATCAAACCGCCGCAGATCTGTGAATACAACAAGATCAAAGAAGCCTACAGTGAGTGGCAAGAAGTCCTTGGAATCCAAAAGCATTCTCAAGACCACCAGAAGCAACCGAGAAAAATGAGAACCAATTGGGATTATCTGGAAGCTGATATAACCGAAACCATGTTGCCCCAGTGTTATTCAACTGACCAGTCTACGGCTGCCTCAACCCTCATATCCTAGATACCAACTTGAAGCTCTACCAGGCCTCACACCCCCAAACGTTGGGTTACAGGGTGGCGCGACCCACCCCATCTCCGACACACGTTGTCCTAATACCCGCTCACGGTTAGCCACTGGATTGCCTTCCACCCTTGGCAGTTCCCCAGATCTCTCTACCAGGCCTCTAAACCCCACATAACTCAGGTTACAGGGCAACGCTGTCGAGCGCATCGGCTTTCACGCAACCCCTTAGGGAAGGAAAGCTTATGCCCCTCGGGAACCTATCCTGTCGTAGGGGACCGCGGGATGTACAGTTCGCGCATCCGGCTAGAGCGGCGAAGGAACGACGCGACCGCGGCCATCTTGGTGGCTTGCGGGATTATTTTGCTTCTTTCCCGAGTTGTCTCCTATTTTGATTTTGTTTCGTTTTTATTACTCCTGCGTGACATGGCCGGAAGGGCTCCCGCACTTTACAAAAGGCGGGAGTCGATGCGCTCGACAACACAACCAAACCCCAAATCCGGCCAGTATTGTTCAGGCATCGGCCAACCCTAAACTCTTAGACATAATGGCGACAACCCACCGTCGGACGATTCACTGAACCCCACCGCGTCGACCAAGGTTTCGAAATGCCCGGCTCCCTTCGTGCATCGGTCGTGCTCGACACACCCAAACCACCTAAACACTCCCCCTATCCGCCCTCTGGGGAGACTTATCACAACGGAGCCACCATCTCCGTTGCTGCTATGCCCTATTCCAGTCCTACCAACTAGCCCCCTCGCCAGCAGGACACGTCATATCCCTCCGACTACTAACCCCACTTAGCCAAATGGCATTCACACCTACCTATGCGACCCCAACATGGAGTGGTAAGCTGGAGAGAAAAAAGCTTCACCACCCTAATCAAAGTATGTCACACGCGACTAGTGCATCAACAAGATACTAGTAGAATACCACTCTCAGGCAGGGCAAAATTCCAACACTTCTGCAATGATAGAAATCGTTGAGTCTAAACTTCAAAAAACGCATTCATCAATCAAAATGAGCAGTGATGTACGAAATCAACTTGAATTATTTACTCACGACTCCTTTAAGAAGCTAGATAGTTGGGAATCATTATTTGAGATCAGAGCCAAAACTCTGATTTACGATCATCAAATTGAACGAGATCAAATCGAGAATTATTTGGATTTTTTTCGAAAACATTGATGAGCCCGCTGTCATGAATCAAAATTGAATAAAAATCCTGAAGCTACCTCCCATGAAAAATCCAAAATAGATAAATCAAAGTTATTCAAAATTAGATTAAAAAACACGGAAACAAGTTATTGATGGTCGTACGGGAAACAAAGATCGGTCAAGCATCCAGTCAAGAAGGTCAACATGCATCTCACAAAACTATGATTCGAAGCATGTGATACCAACCTCTCATCATGTTGTTTCTATCTCCCCCCAAACCTTCACCCCCTCCTTTAACGGCTCAAAGGCAACTCAACCATCTCGTGGCCACTCTCTCGGCCATCAAAACATAATGCTGAACAATAAGGACCGTCATTGCAGAGGTTTTTTTTTAAAGCCATTTTGTGCATCTTCTGGCGCTGGCTGTTTGGCTGTCTGACTGTATTCAATAATGTCAGTCGGTGCTTAGTGGGATCTTCCTTGGAATGGTGTGCAGATGATGGACGAATGATGCGCATACTGCTCTCTCATTAGAGCCTTTTCTTTACTTGTCTCTGTTCACCTTACTACCGTTTCCCCCGAACATAACGCACCTGATTCTAAGTGTATACAAGCCATCTTTCCGGTTGAATGCATTCATAATGAGGGTGCGTAGTGTTCAGGGGAGGACGGTAGGCATGATTGCGTAGTAGCTTTACTATCGCAATGTGCCATTACCAATTTACCATAGAGTTGCTGCCGTAAATCTCTGCGCCTGTGGATCTTGAGCATTGCTCCTCATTCCACAGGCAGTACCGCTATACAGCCCGATGTGATAACAGTTTTTCTCTCTCTCTTCTCTGTCTCTTTCTCTCTCTCTCTCTCTCTCTCTCTCTCTCTCTCTCTCTCTCTCTCTCTCTCTCTTCTCTGTCTCTTATACACATCTAGATGTGTATAAGAGACAGGTCCATACTACTTTGATCTGCACTGCCAATCCCGACCAGGGATGACCAAGTGTACGCCACTGAAGCACAGTGTTAGGGGGGAAAAAAATTCATGA